GTATCTTGTAACTAAACCAATGCATTTATTTTGTTGATTGCATAAAAGTCCTTACTTTTATTCAACAAAAATATCCAATACCAACAATTATATTATTAATGATTACGGATCGCCGGAAGCATTTTTCTTGCCTACAGTACGGCTGTCTCTTATACACATCTAGATGTGTATCTTAGAGACGTTGCAAAGGCAATCATAAATTCATTAGTTAGGGAAACCACACTTCTGGATAAATGTACCTAAAAAACACCTTGTCTGTAATTCCTTGTAATTAAAATTAAGATTTATTACATTTTAAACATAATTTTAACAAGTTTCAATAAGTTAGTAAATTAGCTTGGCAATTGGACTTTCAATGCTAGTGACTCATGGAATACAGATACTTGTAGTTAGCTTAACATTAGGTTACATATTACAAAGAACTGCAATACACTATGTTGTACTGACTCACCCATAAAAACAATATCATAATTGTTAATTGAGAGCTACTAACAAATTTTAAATACAAATCTTCATACGTTGATTCATCAACAATATCGGACCAGCTAATTCTTTCTGAAAACACTTTTTAACTTGATTAGCTACCTTGTTCCAGTAGACATGTGTATAATTCCACTGTCATAGACTGAAATGCTTCTGTGTCCAAGTGACTCCTTTGCTCTATAGAAATCAATATTTAAAATATTTTTAATCCACAGTGCACAGTAACTACTGTACAAATAATAATTATAGAATTGCATTGCTTTAACCCCAATGCTACTGCACCACATAACATCCCAAACACCATGCTAGTGGACTCTAATCCTATAGTTTTGATCACGCAAAGATATATATGGCCACGCAATATTACATTTTTGAAAGGTGACTAGGCGCATGGTAACAACCAACTGATGCAGACCAGCGGTCACACATTACTCTCCATAACACAGCATCCCCTAGTTCCGTCACCTCTGGATGCGCAATCAACTTACTGTATTATCCCATGTCTTTCCAAGGCAATAAATACATAAGATAATCGTAGTCATACCCTATTAAGGGCCATGTTATTTTAGCAAGCAACAAAAGGGCCTTATAAAGTCAGGTTTGGCATGTTGAGCTCAAAAAATGCTTTTGATTTTTGGACACTATGTTAAGAGAGTGATAGACAAAACTGATAATTTATAACAAATTCATGGCAATAATTAACGTACATAATATCTACCTAAGACAAAACAATGTACCAGATGATGATGGTAAATTCAATTTGAATGTAGTCTTTTACATTTACTAATTAGAACTAGATATACAGTACAGTACTGCGTACCTGGAAGTGCTGGCAAAAAATGTCTTCTGTGATCGAAGATCAAGGTACTCTTCTTGACTTGAGTTTCGCTCTGGACTGGATAAATCTCCTAGGCTTGAAATGGGAATAAAGTTTCTGGAGTGTTTTTTGTTCACATGTTGCTGGAAAAAAGAAAATTCAGGACTGAGTAACACAACACTTAAACAATTAAAACTTCAGACAAAGAAAAAAAAATACATCCTGGATTTTGGGCACATAATTGTAGCATGTATCTTGTAACTAAATCAATGCATTTATTTTATTGTGTAATTACGTCTAAACATTAAGAAAGCATTGATATTTTTTAAATAGTTTTCTTCCGAAGGTTGGAAGATTATAAATATTTTAACCATCAAAAGTTGTGGGTTAAATTCTGGCAAGTTGAAAAGTAGCATGGTAATTTGTCAAATGCCAAACTCATTTGGATCATACAGTCTCCAAGCAATCATAATAAGAATAAAATGACAATTATTGTTTGGCAACACACCTTATCCATACAGTACATGTTACCTTTTATAAAATGTGTACTACACGTGTGCACATCTATGGCATCCTTCCGTACCGTAACTAGTGCAAGATCCGCTTCATGGACCACACCAAGCTCATCCAGTTTTCCCAAACGTTTTTCTTTCATCAAAATTCGAAAACATGAATCACTAACAGTTTTCATAATTATCTGTAATGACTGACATACATCTATGAATATTTATTATGTTAAAACAGTGTTCAGATTTCATTTTTACATACAAAAAGTTGTGGAAACTTTGAATGAAAGTGTAATTTTGCTTTCCATATCTTATAATTTTAGTCTTTAAAATAAAAAAGTGACAACTGGAAGATATTAAGTTCCACTGAAAAAGCTCAATTTATTAGTTATTTTCACTTCACTTCTCTAACATTGCAACAATGTAGAAAATGTTTCTTTCGAATTCGGTTTATTATGGGATTGCAACTCTAGAGTTATTATTTGTGGGCTATAAATGGGTGAATTACAACGGTTGCCTCTCTCCACCCAGGAGTACCTGTCTCTTATACACATCTAGATTTAAAATTGGTCCAAAACCGGAACAGGGCAATAAACGAAATTGAGAGAGTGCAGGAAAAAGAAATTCACAAGTTAACAGATGTGAAACAATTCAAAATAATATAACTTCTTTATCCTAATCATAAATAATATGAAGGTGAGTTTGGTTTCAGTCTATACCCCTGTAGGTTTGAGGCCAAGGCAAGGAATCGATTAATGATGTACTTAAGTTTCGTGTTTGTTTTTTGTCGGAAAACAGATTCTTTTAGAAAAGGGGTCAAAATGCCGAGGAGAGGATAAATCGTTTCATTTATATTTTGGTAATCAAAGTATCGCTCCCAAATGTTGATGGCCAGATCTTGAACATCTGCTTTCCATTGCAGTAGCCTAGCTAAATTTACTTGGTACACTATCTGGCCTAACCTGGCAAGTCCTAGGCCTTGCCTACTTACTTTCAATCTTCAACTAGCCTGCCTAGGGCCAGGCCCTAGGTATGACTATGCCTAGTCCTAGGGCCTAGCCCTAGTAGTACTAGTAGTACAGTACAGTAGGCTAATTAGGCCTAGTCTAGGCCTAGGTCGCTTTAACTTTACCGAAGAGGGCCTATAAGTAATAATTGGAAATTAAAAAAGGATATATCATAGCCATATTAGGGAACGTATATTAATAACAATGTTTAAAAATATATAATTGTCAAGCAATTCCAAAATATTTGACACAATCAAGGTGGAATAGGCCTCCTTTACTGTAAAAGGAGGCCTGTAGTAGGTGAAATATTATGACATTAGCAGAATAATGTCAGCGTTTAATTCACAATATCATCTTTGTTACAAAAATACACCGTTAATATCATCGTTGTTACAAAAATACACCGTTATACGTATGCCTAGGCCTAGTAGGCCTACTTTTTATTTAAAAGAAGTTTTGAAATTGTAAAATTACGCTTAGCATTACGATCTTCGATGTTAATTTACTTAATGTTGATTCTGACCTGTTAAACTACGGATAACAGTGATATGACGGCGTAAAATTAACCAGCAAACACATTAAATTTACGAATTCATCGTACATTTACATAGCAATTCCTTTTCTTTCTTTATACTGTACAATACTTAACGGTTTAGGTAGGTAAATTTACACCAATTTATAGTTTAAATCTCGAGCTCTGACCTTAAAACACAATGGCGATTTTAACCTGTAGAAAAACGATATGATACCGGTAATTTAAACTACAACAAATCAACAACCTATCGTTATTCTTATTATACAAGATACCGTTAAAATACAATTTTACTGTAGTTACGTTATTTTTACAGTAGGCCTAAATTGGATTTCAGTAAACGTAAAATAACAGACATTTTTTTTACTGATAGTAGGATTATAACGGCGAACGTAAAATTACGGAAAAATGTTAATTTTACACGCGAAGATGAACCGTTAATTAACATCGCGAAGTGAGTTCACAGTCTCATCATTATTATACAAAAATACCGTTAAAATTCATAGTACTTGTTAAAACAATATTTTGTACTGTAAAATTACGCCAGTTTATAAATGAACATTACGAACTCCAACGTTAATTAACGTAAATATTGATTTTGACCTGTTAAATAACGGAAAACAGGACTATGACGACGTAAAATTAACCAGCAAACACATTAAATTTACGAATTCATCGTATATTTACATAGCAATTCCTTTTCTTTATTACTACAATACTTAACGGTTAAGGTAGGTAAATTTATACCAATTTATAGTTTAAATTTCGAGCTCTGACCTTAAAACACAATGGTGATTTTAACCTGTAGAAAAACGATATGATACCAGTAATTTAGGCTACAACAAATCAACAACATCGTATTTTTATTATACAAGATACCGTTAAAATACAATTTTACGGTAGTTAACGTTATTTTCACAGTAAATTGGATTTCAGTAAACGTCGATATGATACCGGTAATTTAGGCTACAACAAATCAACAACATCGTATTTTTATTATACAAGATACCGTTAAAATACAATTTTACGGTAGTTAACGTTATTTTCACAGTAAATTGGATTTCAGTAAACGTAAAATAACGGACACTTTTTTACTGATAGTAGGATTACAACGGCGAACGTAAAATTACTGAAAAATGTTAATTTTACACGCGAAGATGAACCGTTATTTAACATCGCGAAGTGTGAGTTCACAGTGTCATCATTGTTATACAAAAATACCGTTAAAATTCATAGTACTTGTTAAAACAATATTTTGTACTGTAAAATTACGCCAGTTTATAAATGAACATTACGAACTCCAACGTTAATTAACGTAAATGTTGATTTTGACCTGTTAAATGACGGAAAACAGTAATATGACGACGTAATTTAACCGCCAAACACATTGAATTTACGAATTCACCGTATATTTACATAAAAATTCCGTCGAAATACACGGACGATTTTTAACCTGTAGAAAAACGATATGATACCGGAAATTTACAACAAAACACCAATCTATCGTATTATTATATAGAAAATACCGTAAAAATATAATCACACGGTATTGAACCTTATTTTTACAGTAAATTTAATTACGGTAAACGTAAAATTACTGACATTTTTTACACATATAAATAATAAACATATAAAAATAAAAAATAAAGTGGTGTTAATAAAGAAAGCACATATCAGCTATCGATATAGAACAGAATAAAGAGATGGTGAGAATCAATTGTATGGGAAGTTGTAATCAATGAGAAAGTCTATATCTCTATTAAGGCCTATGGTGTGGGTTTTGTGTTTAAGTATGAGTTTGAGTTCGGAAATGCGGCGATCGTTTAGAGATTTAAAGTTGTTGGCTACGAGTGTACATCTCAAATCATTGATGTTATGATTAGGAGAATTGAAATGTGTGGCTATGGGAAGGTTCATATGGATGCGGATAGATGATCTGTGATTGTTAAATCTACTTCTAAAAGAAGCTCCAGTTTCACCGATGTAGGTGCCATGATCACATGCATTACACATTATGATGTAAATCACGTTGGTAGAGTCACATGTGAGTTGAGGGGGTGAATTTTGTGGTTAGTGACTTGGAGTGTGCTTGTGCCGTTAGTTATAATATGTGTGCATATTTGACAGCGAGGCTTATTAAATTTCATATTGCCATATGAAGGAGGTTTAGTAGTGATGTGTGAGAAAGTGAGAAGAGATTTCAAATTAGGTGGCTGGCGGTGGGCAAGAATAGGTGGTGTATTAAATAAGTGTTGTATGGATTTGTCGAGGTGGAGGTGCGAGAAGTCGTCTTTGATAGTTTTGGTGACAGTCTTGTTGGAAGGATGGAATTCGAATATGAGGGGGATGCGTTCTGATTGAGTTTTGGGCTTGTAAGCGAGTAGATCAGAATGGGAGTGTGTGGAAGCTTTGTTAATTTGCGATTTGATCAAGTCAAGGGGATAGCCAGCTTTGAGAAGGAAACCTAATAAATTAGACACATGGAAGCGGTTGGCGCATCGGTTTGTTGCTTGGACTCACAACCTCGAGGTCGGGGGTTCGAAACGCTCGTTGTGCAAATCGCTTGTGTCCTTGGGCAAGGCACTTTATCTACAACGGTTGCCTCTCTCCACCCAGGAGTACAAGTGGGTACCTAGTAGGTTCGAACACAACTGCGCTGATTACTAGCTGCAATATTATGCTCCCCAGGAGCTGAGTATGTGTTCCATATGTGTTTGATCCAATGACCGGGGTAGTAATGTGAAGCGCTTAGAGGCATTGTGCATGAAGCGCTATATAAGAGCGACATATTATTATTATTATTATTAATTCATAGTCAATGAGGTTAGAACATAGACGTTTTAGACGGAGACATTGGCTGTATATTATAGATTTTTTTAAATTAAGTGGGTGATTACTATTGAAATTAAGAAAAGCGTGACAATCTGTGGGTTTAGTGAGGTGGTGAGCTGATTGTTATTGTTAAGCGATACGGAAAATTCTAGAAATGGCAGGGATGTGTGAGACTGTTCTAAAGTGAATTTTATATGTGAATGAAATGAGTTGACGTGGGCTTCGAATGTCAGCGCCATGAGTCCATATCATGAAAGTGTCATCTATGTATCGGTAAAGGTAAAATGTGTGTTAAAATGAAGTTAGTAATGGCTACAATGTCATTTACTTTGTCCAATGAGAGTGATCGTGAGATGAGAAAGGATTTGAGAATGTGTAATCCTTCGGAATGAGGGATGTTCGAATATAATAACGATACATCCACGGTGACAAGGAAGGGATGTGGTAGGGGAGGCAAATTGTTAAGAACATTCATAAAATGTGTAGAGTCTTGTATGTAACTGGGGATCGTAGATATTAATGGTTTAATGAGTCTACGTAGCCTGACAAATGCTCGGTGAGGGTGCCTATTGAGGAAACTATCGGTCTACCAGGGGGATGATACGAAGGTTTCTAGCTAAGTCGAATATAACTGATTTGTCTTCAGGAAGGTCA